ATTGTCTCTGACTGGCTAGCCTGCCATTTGATCTTCAGTAAAGAGCCAGCCAGCGAAGGGGTCAACTGCTGATAATAGTCTGCACTGGCCTGTTGGAAATGCTTTTCGTGATATACGTGCAGTGCAAGTATCTGACCCGTACACAGAAAAAGTGGCTGACTGACAGACTTCACATTTGTGTTGAATAGAAGATTTCCAAACTGGTTTCATCAGGTCGAAGAAGGCGTATCTTGCCTTTCCGATTCCAGCTGGCTGGCTGGCTAACTGGATTTTACATCTTCATCCGTGTTGTCCGACTGCCTCTGGTTGAAATGATGCTCCGTAGCCGGATAAGTGAGGGAATTAACTTCTGTCAAATCTCTCTCGTTGATGGTGATTGATGCTCGTTGTTGATGTTGTCACTGTTGCTGTTGGTTGATTAGTTATCTTCATCACCTCCGTCTTATCTATGTTCTTCACCTGGAGTCCTGTCTTCTCTAGCTGCTTCTTCAGCCAGTCTGTTAGTTTCCGCCTGTTGTGCATTTCTTGAAGGAGGCAAAGAAGAAATATCACATATGCGATTGGTTTTCACTTCAGGTCAGATAGCATTGTGTCACACAGTCTTCTGTCAGTTGATATTTTACTTGAAGATCCTGGGCAGTGAGAAACTCTTATGGAGTAACTTCCTCTGAAAATTCTAAACATTATATAAACACTTCATAATAAAGCCATTATTATTACTATTATGACTATTACTAATAAGATGGTATCTGTCTGTTTTCTTCATCGTGATTTCATCATTTTCTAATCATGGCTGTGAGACACTGAATAGGTAAGCAGTACCTGTAATACTCCTCGTCACAAAATGGTTTCCTCCATGTCACCCTCACACCAATGACCCAGTCATCGCTTCCTATTGGGATTCCAGTCAAGCGATGGCCTGATTTGAGGGTGATGTCATTCGAAGGCCTCCTCAACGTATGCCCATCCATCCATTTCCATTTCCTCCTACATATTTGTTGAGAGATCGGCTCTCACTAGTTGGTTTGTTCCCAACCAGAGTTTCTCGTTGCTAATTGTCTCTGGCCGGCCAGCCGGTGAAGGGGGCGGCTGCTGATAGTAGTCTGCACTGTATTATATCATTATTGTTCCCTTGGGTTCCTAGTGGAACATAGGGCTTCAGCTGCACGTCTACACTTGCTTCTGTCTTCTGCTGTACTTTCCACCTGCATCCATGTTAGTCCATACTGTTTCAACTCCTCTTCACACGATCTCCTCCATGTCACCCTTGCACCGATGAACCACTCGCCGCTTCCCTTTCGGGTTCCACTCGAGCACTGGCCTGACGTGCGCTGTCACCCCGCAGCGACCTCCTCAGCGAGTGTCCAATCCATCTCCACTTTCTCCTGCATATTTGTTGAGCGATTGGTTCTTGTTTTGTTCTCATAGTTCCTTGTTGGTGATTCTTTCCGGCGGCCATCTGATCTTCAGTATAGAGCCAGCGAAGACAGCTGTTGATAAAGGTGTGCAACAGGCTGTTGGAAATATTCTTTGTGACCCGCCAAGTTTCTGATCCGTATAGAAGAACTAGCTGACTTGACGTTTGAATTCAAAATCCGAATTTTGTTGTTGACGCTGAGTGACGAAGATTTCCAGATTGGTTTCAGGTTGATTACTAGGTCACTAGTTTTCTAGCCGGTTCCAAGCCCGGATAAAGAGGGAGGGTCGGGGCAAGGTGCTAGCAACTCCACCCCTAAAACTTAACCAAATTGCTACAAAAACGTCAACGCACAAGTCTGCACTGGCCTGTTGGAAATACGTTTCGTGACACGCAGTGCAAGTTTCTGACCGGTAGTGAAGAACTGACTGATTGACTGACTTCACATTTGTGTTGAACATAATTCGAATCTTGTTCTTTATGCTGGCTAACTGAGTGAAAGGAGAAGATTACCAAACTGGTTTCATCAGGTTGAAGAAGGCGTATATTGCCTTTCCGATTCCAGCTGGCTGGCTGGCTGGCTGGCTTTGACATATTCATCCGTTCCAACTGCCTGGGGTTGTAAACGTGTTTTCTAGAGAGATAAATGGAGGAATTAACCTCTTTCAAATCTCTCCTGTTGACGATGATTGGTGCTGGTTGTTGTTGTTGCTGTCAGTTGGTTGGCTATCTTCATCACCTCCATCTTCTCTATGTTCACGTGGAGTCCTGTCTTCTCTGCCTTCTTCTTCATCCAGTTTGTTGGTTTTCTTCTGCAAGTCTTCGAGTTTGTGTTCAGTCATTATTATATCTTTTGGTCTTAAAATGTATTATTGTCAAGATGATGTCTGTTTTTTTTCTCCATTGTAATTTCATCATTTTCTAATCTTGGCTGTGAAACACTGAATAGGTAAGTAGTGCCTGTGATGCACCCTAACTGTCAGCCTACTTTATTGTTGAAATGTTTAGAAAGTAAATAGAGAATAGAAATTCTTTATGTCATCTTCTGATAAACAAGTCTTTATTGTTGTTGTTGTTGTAGTCGTTGATTTTGTATTTCAATGATTTTTATCTTGTTTTCACTACTCAGTGATTTGTTGTCAGTTAGGCGTATACAATGCATACACTGAATTCACTCGTCAACACTCTGAATACAATTCACACTGCGTTCTACGTCATTGAATTTATATATTTAATATAAAGTATGTATAGTTAGTTATTAAACTGGTAAACAGATTATTATTTGAGGCAGATGTATGCACGTATGTATTATAACAGTGGAATCAAAGTGGCACTTTCTGTTCTGTTAGAAAATTCATTAACTGGATATAACTACATCACTGGGTACGTGTTCCGATTGATACTTACACCCACCTGGTACTGATTGCTTAAAATGTAGCATTTTTGACCGCTTCCAGTAAAGAGTTACAATTATCAAGTTCCTTGTTTTAGGGATTAGTTTCCAGGGAATTGATTTATTTCACGACTGGTCCTGGATTGATGTTAGTTAGAGAATTATTGAAAGGTCTAAGAGTACTTGACAGCTGTTTCGTTCTAGTTTGCGACTCATCATCAGTACACACTCACCAGGACCTTCCAGTTACATGGCGAGCTTGTAGACCATTCAGCCGCTGGAAGCCTACTGAATGACCAGACCATGAATTCTAACTTCTACCAAGAAGGGATTTTAGCGCGGCCATTAGTCAGTGTCACTGGGAATTATTTTTCCTAGTTCACGGTCTAATGGACTCCAATGGTAACGAATTCTCAGCTGAACTTCAGACAGCTTCTTTCTGTACCCAATCATTTCCCTGTACCATATTTCACGGCACGTACTTTATGTGATGAAAATAGTGTTAGGCATGAACTAACTAACTAAACTTCTTTGCACTACTAAATAAACCTTTTCCTCCACCCACACAACATCAACCTTTATTGTTATTGCACTTCTCATATTTATAATGCTCTCAAATTTTGTTTTTATTGGTTAATTTTGCATTATTATGAACATCATTTGAGCTGTATTATAACTGTTAATTTTGTATTTCTCCCCATTTGAAAGAGGTTACTTCATTCACTTCACTTATCTACCGAGCATTGTCTCAACTACAGGAGGAACGGACAAAGATGTCGAATCGAGAATCGGTAAGGCGAGAAACACTTTCATCAACCTGAAACCAATCTGGAAATCTTCGTCACTCAGCCTGCATCAACAACAAAATGATTCGGATTTTCAATACAAACGTCAAGTCAGTCAGTTCTTCTATACGGATCAGAAACTTGGCCAGTGTGTCACAAAGAATATTTCCAACAGCCTGTTGCACACCTTTATCAACAACTAACTGTCTTCGCTCTATACTGAAGATCAGATGGCCGGAAAGAATCACCAACAAGAAACTATGGGAACAAACAAAACAAGAACCAATCACTCAACAAATATGCAGGAGAAAGTGGAGATGGATTGGACACTCGCTGAGGAGGCCACTGGCTGACATCGCGCATCAGGCCAACGCTCGAGTGGAACCCGAAAGGGAAGCGGCGAGTGGTTCATCGGTGCAAGGGTGACATGGAGGAGATCGTGTGAAGAGGAGTTGAAACAGTATGGACTAAGATGGATGCAGGTGAAAAGTACAGCAGAAGACAGAAGCAAGTGTAGACGTGTAGTTGAAGCCCTATGTTCCACTAGGAACCCAAGGGAACAATAATAAATAATAATTGTATTTCCCCTCACCATGCCATATCAACACAACATTAGATCCAATAATCTATAAAATGCTGAAATTTTCAAAGTGAATCGACAATACTGTTTGAAATAAACTCACTGTTATTATTATCAGTATTACATTTAATATTCTCAGTACTTCGAATATTTTTGACTTTATATCGTAAATGTGGACGAATTCCTCCGGTTAATTTTATTTATATTTTGAGTAAATCAGATGCAAGGTATTGTGACAAATGCTGAGAATTCCATTCTGTATAATAAGTACTGTTTTTGGAATAAAGCATATTGATTATTATTATTATTAATATCAGATTTATTATCAAAAGCTTGTTCTCTAAACGACATTGATCTGTGATCAAACTTCAAATAAATCAAACCCCTATAGACTAGATCTTGAAAATTAATTTGCTTCTCGCTAGTGACGGCCTACAGGACGAAAAGTTGTCTGGAGTCCTAGTGAAGATTCGTGACCATTGGGGTCCACGAAGTCACAAGTGATAACAAATACTCGCTTATACAATGGCTAGTAATTGCGGTAAAAATACCTATAAGTAGAAGTTAGAATTCATGGGCTGGTCTTTGAGTCGGGTCTCAGTATCTCAGTGGTGGGTGTGTACTGATGGTGAGTCTGAAACTAGAACGAAACAGCTGTCGATTGCTCCTAGGCTTTCCAACAGTTTTTTAACTGGTGAACAAACGTGTAACCAATCAGATCCCTGCAAAATAATACTTAATATTAATATTACCAGATAAAGAATTGTTATGTTATGTAATCTGAGAGTGTAATAGTAATTAATAACAGCAGAATTTATCACTCACCTCTAACCTGTAGGCAACAGTACCATTCACGCCATAGTCAACATCTTTAGCCAGAGGAAGGACAGCTAATTCACGCTTCTTATTCTGATGTAACAAAGTGCCTTCATTAGCATGAAATGAATTGCCTTTCCAGTATCCTGTTGGCTCCGATGCCGATGATGAGTGGGACAATGATGAAAGTAGCGTAGGCAAATACACTAATGATGGAATTGTGTAGTATTTACTGATTGTTGATGAAATATCTTCACTGACTTCAAGCCGCAGTCCACTTGTATACTGATCAAAACGTGGGATATTATCATTGATATCTTGAATTTTCACTGGTAGATTAATCAGAATTGGCTTGAATGTACGATTTTGACTAATCAATGCAAATTCTAAAATGATGGTACAGTCGACTATCGATGGATCATCATCAATAAGATCTAACAGTAGAAAAACAGAGAGAGAGAAAAAAGAGATTTTATCAATTACTGGATCAGTATGAGTAAACAAATATTACTAATAGTTACTGACTGCCTATACAACAGGGATTTGATTAGCTTCAAGTTATAGAACCCTTGAAAGCCATGGGGAATTAGATATCTTTCTCACACACGTCACGAAATCCCCGGCAGTACGAGCTCATGACTCCGGCGTGGATCGAAATCATCACGTTCAGGTTACGAGGCGAATGTGTTGAACATTCACTCACTTGGACAGGATTTAGTGTCCCATGAGTTGTAACCTCAGTCAATTGACCAGTTTTATGAGTAATCTACATTCAGACATTAATGAAAATAAAAGGCAGTTCAGCGAAGATGATCTTTTCCGCGAATTCACTTCCCTCTTCAGCTGTACAGTCACATTTATAATCTCGGTGGTGGTAGAATGCTCGCCGACCACGCAGGTGGTCCAGGGCGTTCAGTCCCCGGTAGCAGACGCACTCCTTTACCTCACTAAGCCAGTAATAAGACTGGTAAAGAGGGAAGGTTGGGCATGAAGCTAGCAACGTAATCCCCTAAAAAATAAATACGACTGCTACTGAAACTTTAGGCCTTTAGCTTGAAGGCACCCCATGCTCCACTGGGAACTTAAAGGAATTGGAAAAAACGATAGGAGTTGAGTGAGTGCATTCGAATTATGTAATAAGATTAATAATTTAATCAGTGAGTTGTAATCACCACGCACGAAGAAACGAAGGAAAATTATTGAGTTATGCAAGAGTTCTAAAGGTAGAGAAACCGGAGCTATGCATACAAAAGAAAATTATTCAACCTCTCAATGCTATCGCGGTAACAATCTTTTGATTTCTACTAACTTGAATTTTGTTTATTTACTTGCTTTCTTTGTTTATTCTTTTGTCCTTAGTGGAACATAAAGTTTCAAGCTTTAGCTTCAAAGATTCCGTAGCAGTAGTGCAAATTTTTTAAGGGATAAGGTTGTCGGCCTCACGCCCACCCAACCTTCCTTCTTCACTGGTCTAACTGTCGTCTAAGCAACGTTTTTAGCGGTGCATCCGCTAGGTATCACATGAGTGGCTAACGTCTATTTTACCACTAAACTACGGACGCGCTACTCCACCTCATATCGGTAGATAAATCACAACTAACAGCTTGGAGACTGAGGATATATATAGATATTATCATCTTAACTTTACCCATCTAAATATATCGTGTCAGATATCTTCAACAATACCATCCATATGGCTTAAAACTGTTTGCAACCATTCGACTGGAAATGATTTATAGTCAAACTAAATCAATAATTAAGTTTACTTTAATACCTAATCGTAAAGAATGAATGTAGAATGTGTTTTTTGTGATTTTACGTTAGTCATTTTGACTGACATGCAAACAATAATGATTGTTCTTTAACGGATTCATATGCTAACAGATACTAGAAAAACAGTTCGACATCGGAATACCAGTTATTATTCTGAAAGGGTTGCTTTTAAGATGTACTATGAATGTACAACTTTTATTACAGAGAAATCGACGGTACTGCTATGGGTTCTCCATTGGGTCCAACTTTCTCAGATTTCTTTCTAGCCAAGATTGAAAATGGTCCATTGAGACAAGTAATATAGAAAACTGATTCTTATTTTCATTATGTTGATGATACGTTCATTATTCTTGATGTGAAAACTGACAAGAATGAAATGTTAAAAAAGTTTAATGATGCACATCCATCGCTCATCTTCACTTGTGAAGAAGAACATGATGGTGGACTACATTTCATTGACGTCCAATTGAGCAGAAGAGAGGATGGTTCACTCAAGAGAGATATCTATAGAAAACCTACATCTGTAGGACAATGTACACATTTCCACAGTTTTGCACCAATCCGATATAAAATCAATTTGGTCAGATGCCTCACGAATAGAGCAAGACGGTTCTGTACCAATGACTCCCTAGAAAATGAATTAGGATACATCCAAAATACACTGGTCCAAATGGGTTATCCTAGTAGATTTGTTAGGAGACACATGAATACCAGGTACAATAAAGAGAAACTGACAACAGTTAAAAAGAAACAACTGTTCCTAAAATTGCAATTTGATGGGGACGTGGCTAGTGAAATCTTACATCTGAGATTATCTAGAGCAATGGAAACTGACTTATTTTGCCACCACCCTTTGTTATTTTCCACCCAACTAATTATGATTGCTCAAGGGAAAGACAAGCTACCTAGGTGTGCCACTTCTATGTGTATCTCTAAATTTAGCTGCTCCTGTGGAGAGAGAGAGAGAGATAGGGCGAACAACTAGACAGCTTAACAAACGCATTAATGAGAGTCTTCCTTCATGGTTCGGAAAATGACAAATAAAATGTATAAGAAGTTCTATTTTGGCTCATTTGATTGATAGTGGTCACCAAGTGGACAAAAATAGTGCCTTCAAAGTTATCCATCGCATTCCATCGAACCTTTCGAACGGAATTCGAACCCACCTTTCACACCTAGCCGCAGATATGGGAATTCGAGAGAACAATCCTAGTCTTCGCATACAAAAAAAAAAGAATGTTGTTCTACCTTTGTCTCTCCCTTGGCCTAAGGTAAATTCTAATCAAAACCCTCCCACTCTTTCTTACTTTCCGTTTCCTTCGTACTTTTATGACATTTATTTGAACTCAGATCATCTGTCCACTTCCCCTTTAGTATTACGTAACTTCTAAGATTTGATCTAATTTATTTATTTATTGAATTGTCTGCATATACAAATATTACTTACTACCTTCGTTATTTTAATCGCCACCTGCATAAATCTTATTATCATCATTTCGTTATCATAATAATCATCGTTATTAATGATGTTCAAAACATTTACCACATTATTATTATTATTATTTAATCCACAAACTCACCGTCATTGGTTAAAACGCTTACATATAAATTTATTTTCAAGAGTAGGTTTGTAAGGATTAAATTTGTTTCTACGAGTTTGACCACGGATTTAATCCTTACAAACCAACTCTTGAAAATTAATCTGATGCTCGCTAGTGACTTTCTACAGGACGGCGTTTCCTGGAGTTCTAGTAAGAAGTCGTGACCAGTGAGGGCCATCCAGATTTCACGTGTGAGAATGGATGTCCCACCGATGACACTGGTTGGTAATTTGACTAAATCACGAAATGACATAAGTTATAATTCATGTGTCGGCCACTGATTCGAGTCCCAGTGGCTGAATGGTATACGAGCCAGCTTGCCTTGCAACCGGAAGGTCCTAGGTTCGAACCCCACTGTGGTGGGTGCGTACTGCCGGTGATTCCCAAAAAAATAAGATGAAACAGCTGTCTGGCAGTACTTCATGGTCTTTAATGGTTCTCTAACGGATATCATCCGTGGTGAAACTGGTAAATATCTATCTATCTATGTGAATTACAGTAAAGCCTGAGGTTTAATTGAAAACAGCAATATTGTTCGCTTCTATCTCTTGTTCTAATAATGATTGTGTGGTAGATTGGAAACAAGAGGAAGAAACTAGACTTCTGTACCTCGAAGCAAAATTGTAGTCATTTGAATTAATCGCTGATTGTGTCATCAATTTAAACATTACACTTTACTGTTATATATACGGAAATCCAACATTTTGTTGAACTATTCAAAGACCTTCTCAGTTGTCATTTATGTCATCAAGCAAATGACATCACTGTGATCTAAATAATTTGAGCTTTCAAAGGTAAAAAGGTGAGACCTTATTCTAATCCTGATAATTTACAAGTTAAGAAATTGGAAAAAATAATACTACAGTTACTACAGTATAAAAATAGATTGAACTGAGACGCCACTGACTGGTTTTTCTTCTTCTTTTTCCTGTTCTTGTTATCGCTAAACGCACAATGATGATATATTTAAACACCATAATGATCGATAATACGATGGAGCAGACTACACACGCAGTTACAACGTCGAACATTGTCCTCGTACTCGAAATACGACAGAAGACGAACTGTTTGGTGAGAGCTTTAACTAGCTCAAGTCAGTTCAAACTAGTAATGATAATGATAACGTAAATATATTATACAGAGAGATTAAAAAGGATGTAATCAATCAACAGACCAAATATCGATCCGATATCCCTTAGGAGGCAGTATTTTGGAAAAGATCGGGGTCAGCTTATGTATTAAATAAAGATACTTCTTCATATCGACACAGAATTAACGGTAGTATCTGAGTATCTTCATCTGTTCAAAACTCTCAGTGGGTAGAATTTTATGAAAAAATGTGGCCTGTTTGAAATCTGGGCTACCAAAATACCGCATCATTATATACTGCACATTATTTCTGGTCTTCCCTTTGTCTGAATCTATTAAAATTCCACCGCTAATGGCATTTCCTACTCTCATAAGCATTTAAATTGTCTACAACCTGCTAATTCGCAAGTCTCTAATAAACTTGAGAAAAAGCAAACTTCTGGGTGGCAACATATCTCAGTAGATGAGATAACTTTCCGTGAGACAATTAGTACAAACTACCACTGCCTGAGAAATAAAACCACCTGTAGTCTCCAACCATTATTATTATTCCCTTGGGTTTTGAGTGGAATATAGGAATTAAACAACAAATCTTTACTTTCTTCGATTCCATGCTGTCCTCTTCAGTTGGGTCCACTGTTGACCATAATCTGTCATCTTTCCCACACCAGACAACCTCCTCCATGTCACTCTCTCACTGACGACCAACTCATAGCCTCCCATTTGGATTCTACTCGAGCGGTTGCCTGCAGTGAGCGTGATGTCATTCGACGGTCTCCTCAACGTATGCCCGGTCCATCCATCTCCACTTTCGCCTACATATTTGTTGAAAAATCGAATCTTGGTTGGTTTGTTCCCACCCAGAGTTTTTTGTTGCTAATTCTTTCTGGCCCGTCAGCCGGTTGGCCATTTGATCTTCAATATGGAACCAGCCAGTTAAGGTGGCAGCTGTTGATAAAAGTCTGCTCTAGCCTGTTGAAAATGCTTTTCGTGATGTCCACGCAGTGCAAGTTTCTCTAAGTGAACATAGAGAAGACAGAGTTGATGAAGATAACCAACCAACTAACAACAACAAATACAGAGAGCACCGGTGACTATCAACTGAATAAATATGAAATGGGTCACTTCCTTCACTTACCACGCTGGTCAGCATCGTTTCAACTACATGTGGAACGGATGAAGATGTCAAAACCAGAATCTGAAAGACAAGCCAGACCTTTATCTCGATATCAGTGAGAAACGTGTTATGTTCGTCATGAGAAGCATTTTAAACAGGCTACTAGAGACTTAATAAGAAACGATCGACTGGATATCACTTCGAGGATGACATGCAGGCGACAGTGTGAGGAGGAGATGAGAGTCTACAGGGAATCATGGTGACTGGGAATTCGAAGAATAAGGTGAAATTAAGATGTGTTGTTGAAGCCCTATATTCCATTTGGAACCCAGGGTAACAATAACAAATATTAGTAATATCTCCGGTTCACTTTGATATTGTGTATCCTTTAATGGGTGTATAAATGGGTCTATTACACACCCAACCTTCCATCTTTCCTGGGTCTAGGACTGTCTAGTGAACCAAATAAGGTGTTAGAGTTCATCGGCCAGGGGTCGAACACGGATCACATCGGTGGTTAAGTGACCAGTATTTCACTATTGAATCATTAACACACCAACAAATATACAAGTATATGTTTCATTATCTTGTTTTTTTCTTCTTTCTTTAACAATTACGTCAATCATTTCAAAGCATTTCATTATTATAGTCGAACATTAATTAGTAAGAACGATGATTACTCATTCATTCATTCATTAATTCATTCAGTATACTTCTTTCATGCATAAATATTTAATCAGCCATACGAGAAAAAGAGTAGATAAAGTAAAACAATGTTATCCATACATTGAATGAAGTCATGTAGAATTTAAAATCTATTCAATGTGTTCAATATTTCCGCGTAAATTGAATGAAGGTGGCTGTAGTTGTCGATTAGTTAGTTGGTTATGGTAATACACAAAGGTATAGAGGGCAGGAGAGCTGACAGTGACCAATAACATAACTAAAGGGGGGGGTGCGGAAGAAACTGGTGCAAAGGTTAAGTTAGCCGTACTTCCGGTTGTATAAAAGTTTGAAAAATCAATAACAACATTAGCAGCGACAGAGCATTAATGTTAATTAATATTTTAGCATAGTTATGATGTGTGTGTGCGTGTGTGGAAGATTCATTATTCCGAAATTATGTTACGTAGTATGG